AGGCCAGATCAATCAAACACATCATTTAGGATTATGCGGCATATGTTCGCATAATTTAAGATTCGCATATCCAAATCTATAAGGCTAGATAGTAGATAACTATCGATTATGCGTATTGTTATTGCATATTTACGAATCACATATCCATATAAAACCTCGCATAAATGTATCAATATGCGAACACATTTCAAAAAGTGTTACGCACAACTTCTTTCACCTAATAGTTTTTTTCAATTCATTATTAATTTAGTCAAAGATATTTTCCAAAATTTACCAACTATTCAGAAAATATGGGACGTTTGTATGTCGCAATTTTTTACGTCGCGGAATATAAAATTTACAAAAACAAATATAAAAAAATATATGTTATTCGTTATAGTTCGAGTTATGCATTTTTTATGCGAAAATGTTTCGAGTAATAATCGCAAGTTCTTTCGCCTAATAGTAGTCTTCTACAATTTATTATTAAATCACTGACAGAACTTAAAAAAAAAAATTAATTATGCTCCAATTCTGCGAATAATATGCGACGTATATGTCGTAATTTTGCATCGACTCAACTACTTTACATCAACTAATTTTTTATAGGCGAATAATATACGACGCATGTACGTCGCAATTTTACATGTACTCAACTACTTTACATCGACTGAAGTAGTTTACAAGTAACCTTACAACGTCACACAAATTACTAGATAGAGGAGGCTACAACAGCGAGTTGAAGAACAACTTCAAATGTACCAAAAAAAAAAAGAAGAACAGCTTCAAAGATCAGAACCAATTGGATGCATGTGCCGAAGTTGGAGGAACATGGGGGGCTAAACAAGTTGGTCCGCGAGATGAGCGTGTTCGCGAAGCCATGTTTGACTTTCGATAAACATTTGAAAGTCTCAATCTAGTATACCCCGGAAGAACAAGCACCTTCGTCTTTGAAGGGGTGCTCCCTTTCGCCGTCGTAGGTGCCTCAATCTAGTAAACCCCGGAAGACCAAGCAATTCGCAGGAGATTCCACGCCTTTCCAAACACATGGTCACCTACAGCTTTTTCAGCCTCCAATTTTTTTTAGCTAACAATGTGAGATGACCATATGCCTGGAAAGGCGTGGGATCTCCAAGGAGAGTGCTTGGACTTTCGAGGTATACTAGATTGAGGAGGCTACGACAGTGAAAGGGAGCACACCCTCAAAGACAAAAGGAGGATCAGGACCCATCTCTCAATTCTTCAACCTTCGATTTTTCTCAACATGTCCGTACAATGAAGGGACCTCATTGACCGACATGTTGAGGAAAGCGAGATTTGAAGAATGTTGAGAAAATGGTCCTGATCCTAATTCAATTGTCTCATCTCAGCTACCTTTTATAGAAGACTCAAAAAGATATCCTCCTTGATACGCGCGACGTTATTAATTTGCCAAAGACTGAGAAGACGTTTCAGAGCGACTCTTCAAATTCGCAGAACTGCGAATAAAATGAGATGAATCACACTTCATTCGCCTAACTTTATGACAATAAATGATTTCGCATATCTGGTTAATCAAGAAGATATCTATCCTCCTTGATACGCGCGCCGTTATTAATTTGCCAAATACTTGAGGGGACGTTTCGGAGCGACTCTTCAAATTCGCAGAACTGCGAACAAAATGCGATGAATCGCACTGCATTCGCATAACGTATTGACAATAAATGATTTCGCATATCTGGTTAAAGAAGATATACTCAAGAAGATTTCTATCCTCCTTCATATGCGCGCCGTTATTATGCGCCGAAGACTGAGGGGACGTTTCGGAGAAGAGACGACTCTTCAAATTCGCAGAACTGCGAACAAATGCGATGAATCACACTTCATTCGCATAACGTATCGACAATCAATTGCATTTGATTTCGCATATCTGGTTAACAAAACATACGTAAAATATAATTAATTGTTTTTAATGCGCTGAAGACTGAGGGGACGTCGTTT